AAGTTCCCAGTATTAGGTCTTGGTGTTGGTCTTTTTCATTCATTATGCTGGGCCATTAGTGAACCCTTTAAAGCTAAAGAGTTACATCTTTCAGATCTAGAAATATCTTACATTATTTCTTTGATAATTTCTTCTCTGCCATTTTGTTTTCTCTTTCTGAAGAGCAAGATTAATTCTCTTGGATTAATCATTTAACTTTATTGTTTTAATATTTGCCATCTTGTTTCTTTCCTTCTATTGTTAGGAAATTACTTCAAGTTTACTTTTAAATTTTTTACTGAATTTTAAAAATTTTAATCATCGTATTTGTATTTCTCAAGAATTCAGTCTGATTTCTTCATTTTTCCCCCCATGTTGTTGTTGTTGTTATTATGTGCCATCAAGTAGGACCCGACTCATAGCAACCCCTCCTTGGGTTTCGGATGCAGTATCACTACGGAAGTAGATTGCCTCATCTTCCTTCCGAGGAGTGGCTGATTGGTTTGAACCGCTAGCTTTCTGGTTAGCAGTCAAGTGCCTTAGGCACTATGCCACCAGAGCTCCTTTTTTCCCCATAGCATCCATTTATTTTAGAAATGCAATGTCTTCTCATATCTATTTAAAATTATTACAGATTTCATGAAGTTTCTTCTGCTCCTTTTATTATCTCTGTGTCAAGTGAGTTTCTTGTCACATTGAAGGTTTTCCTTAAATATTTGGTGATCTTTGGATAGGGTTAGACGATTAGAAAGCTCTTTTCCATTGGCAGACTTCACTTTAGAGCAATGGGGTAACCAGCTCCATTTTTATTGGAGAACTATTGTGTTATTTAGGCTGCTATAACAGAAATACCACCAGTGGATGGCATTAACAAACTGAACTTTATTCTCCAACAGTTTAGGAGGCCTGAAGTCCGAATCCAGGGGAATGAAGGGGAAGGCTTTCTCTCTCTGTTGGCTCTGAGAGAAGGTCCTTGTTACCTTCAGCATTTGTGGGCCCACAGTTCCTTGGAGACCTCCATGTATATTGGCATAACAGGTTATAACTCAGGATCAGAAATGACTCAAGATGCAGTTCCTTGGTCATAACAGCTTCTCAGTTATGCTCACAGGTAGCCCTCTCTGTCAGCCATCAGGCCCTCAATGTGGCTCAGCTTCTGCCCTCCTCCAGCAAGTGCTATAAAGCTCTTTAGCATCCCAGATAAGCGCCCAGAGGTACTCTTCACTAGCAAGGTTCTGGCATGAATGTCCTCAGCTCTCTTGCTCCATGGATCAGGACACCCATTGTGCCATCTCCTACTGGTTTCCTGGTTCTGCTGGTGCTAGTTCTCTGCTGTTATTTTTCACCATCTTCAGTGTTACAGTTTTCTGTCTCCTGGGTCTAGAAGGTTCTCAGTGTAGGGATTCTGGGTCATTAAGGATGCACTACACTCTCAGCTCTTTTTTCTTGGTGGTAGTGAAGTCCCCCACTCTCTGCTTGCTTGGTTAATCTCTTTTATATCTTAAAAGAAACTGACTCAAGATAGAACCCAATCCTATAAATTGTCTTGCTTCATTAACATAACTGTCTTTAATCCCATCTTATTAACATCACAGAGGTTAGGATTTACAACACGTAAAATAATTATATCAGACCACAAAATAGAGGATAATTACAGGAGAATCTCAGTATTATGTAGTTGTTGTTGTTGTTAAGTGCCATCGAGTCGTTTCCAACTCATAGCGACCCCATGCACAGCAGAACGAAACACTGCCTGATCCCGCGCCAGCCCACAATCCATGCTATACTTGAGCCCATCATTGCAGCCACCGTATCAATCCATCTCCTTGAAGGCCTCCCCCTCTTTCATTGACCCTCCACCCTACCAAGCATGACATCCTTCTCCAGGGAATGGTCCCTTCTTACAACATGACCAAAATAGGTGAGATGAAGTCTGGCCATTCTTGCTTCCAAGGAGCATTCTGGCTGCACTTCCTCCAGGACAGATCTGTTAGTTCTTTTAGCAGTCCACGGTACTTTCAGCATTCTTCGTCAGCACCACAACTCAAAAGCATCAACTCTTCTTTGGTCTTCCTTATTCATTGTCCAGCTCTCACATGCATACCAGGCGATTGGAAATATCATGGCTTGTGTCAGGCACACCTTAGTCCTCAATGAGATATCCTTGCTCCTCAGCACTTGAAACAGTTCCTTCGCAGTTGACTTTTCCAATGCTACACATCGTCTAATGTCCTGACTGCTGCTTCCGTTGGCATCGATTGTAGAACCAATCAATGTGAATTCCTTGACAACTTCAATCTTCTCTCCATTTATTGTGATGCTGCTCATTGGTCCAGTTGTGAGGATTTTTGTTTTCTTTATGTTGAGATGTAATCCATACTGCAGACTGTATTCTTCAACCTTCATCAGTAGGTGCCTTAAGTCATCCTCACTTTCAGCAAGCAAAGTTGTATCGTCTGCATATCTCAGGTTGTTAATGATTCTTCCATTATGTAATTATCCTCCATTTTGTAATCTAATTGAGCCTAGTCAAATTGACACGTATTTTGAAGGAACACAATTCAATTCATAACACCCACAAATGTCAGTATCTTTCTCTGAAGTATTCAGGTTCTCCATAGGTGGATATTCCAATCTTCTGTCAGAGGTGACCAGCTTTCTGAAGCTGAGTGGAATAAAGTGAGCTTTCTGAAGTTGAAACTAAACTAGTCCTACAGTTTAATATTTATCTAAAACTGCCTATGTGCCTAGGAAAGTAAGCCTCGGAAATTCCATTTCTTCAGAGAATAAGTCTCTCATCTCCTAAATCAGTACTTGTCAACAAATTTGACTTTACTTGTTGGCAGTCTGCGTGAGTTTGCAATTTTAAGCACACTTTGCCTCCCTCTGATATCCCATATCCACCACCATTCCCCACCCAACGGTCACCTTTCCAGGCTGTAAAGCTCTATGATTGCTTTGGTCGATCTTAAAAATCTCTCTGTCCCACTGATCCCTTAAAACTGTCCATTTCTGGATTTTTTTCAATTCTATTAGGTCTTCCTTGAAGTCTTGGCATTAGGGAACAGTGAATTATTGCAGATATAATAATAATATTGTTAGAAGGAAAAAAGAATCCTTGGGCTTTTTAGTTAACAACGTATTAGGTTGCTATCTTCACGGAAACATTTATGAAGAATTATAGTTTTTAAAAGTGCTTTTCTTTCATTTTATTAGCAAAAGAACCCCTTTTTTCCAAATTAAATATTATATTAACCAGTCTAAACTGGTTACAATTTAGAAAGCCCTAAAGCCCCACAGTCTCAGTCAATCCTTGTCCCTCTTTTACACTTCATTCTACAAAAGTACCAGCACATGCTTCCCAGACAGCATGGAGTATAGCATAAAACTCACCACTTTCCATTATCTTTAGGTATTAAAGAAGAATGGAAAAATGGAAGCTTCTAATGAAATAAATACTTCATAAGACCTCTTTATTGGAACTTCAATTAAAAACACATACAAATCCTATCTTCTTAATTTACTCAAATGTACATAATATAAACTTTTTCCTAGTGCATATTTGAAAAGCTATCCTTTCTTTAAGCAGTCTAAGTGGAAAAAGCATCAACTTAAACATATTCTGACTGTAAGTGTAGCATATCAGGAGGACTAATTAGTAATTTCTGCTACGACAAATGCCAATACAGGACAAGATATCAAACACACATTAGTAATGAAATGGATCAAGATTACTTTTTATTGCACATTTGCTTACAAGTCTGCAGCTGTTGAGTAGAGCTAAACCTAAAATATTGTGTTACTTTCAGCCATATTTCCATCAAATGAATTACAGCAGTGAATTGCCTATTTCCCTAGGCTTATCTTCCAGAATCTAAAACATTAACCTTCCCAATTTGTCTAGATGCTGGAGTACAGATTTATCACTTGTTTTTTAAAAAGTAAGTCACTCAAAAACAAACTAAACATCATACTGCAAAGAAAACTAGCAATTTTTATGTCTACTTGTATAACCTAGAATCAGAAAACTAATGATTATGTAATACTGTGTACCTAAGTATAAACCAATCTCCTTCAAAACTATTCATGAGTCGGGGCCGACTCAATGGCACATAACAACAACAACAACAACTATAAACCAATCTCCTTCAAAACTATTCATTAATGTATGTATCAGTAAGCCTTTATTACAGGAAATTGTAATACTCTGAGAAATTGATTTTGCCACGATTATACTTCTAAAAGCCTCCCCAAAATAAAAAAAAGGAAAAAAAAACTATAATGACTCCAAATATTATAAAGAAATATTGCCCTGGCTGAAGTTATTTGGAATAGTTTTGATATTTACTTTCCATTCTATTCCATTAGTTAATGCAAAATGGAGACTGTGCTGTCCAAACTGCAATAACATGGCATTTGAGTAGTTTAAGCTTTAAATGGACCTAGAACATTCATAGCCTGATTTCAAAAAAAGATACAAGAATGAAGACATAATAGCTATTATAGAAAACGTAAAACTCTGGCCATGACTGACTGAATGAAGTAATGAATGAATGAATGAATGAATGATGCTCTTACTTTAAGCTCATGAATGTACTATGAAAAAAGAAATGACAACAGGTATTTGGCAAACATCTTCTAAATTATTTATACCAAATTAATAAACAGAAAAGTTATTTTTAATGCATCACTCAAATTTTACAATTCAATCATTCATATTTTCCTTTATAAGATTATTCAAAAGAAACTGTTTAAACTTGATTTAGTAAGTTTTTCCTTCTATACATTTTTACATGAAAGGTTACTAAAACCACAATTCTGAACAATTTCTCTTTAATCATACAAACATTATATGCGTAAATGACAGCAAAGAAATTAGAACTTTTCTTACTCTATCTATAATGACCTGTTACCAATTGTATAATAACTCTTCTCCATAGCTTTATTATTATTATTATTATTATTATTTAAGTATTTTAACAATCACGATTATGAAAAACGCATCTCGATGCTACAATGGACTAACATCCCTGCTTATTCCACATAGGTACTGCCAGCGGTCCCTGTGGTGTCCTTTCAACAATGACAAATTCATCAGGGTTGCCAACTGCCTCATAGAAGACCAGTAAGTCTTGTATAGCATGCTCTTCAATCTGAAAAGAAGGGATGGGGGAAAAATTGTTTCAATTCTTTAAATTATAAACTATAGCAGGATTATATTAGTTTTCTAGTTTCTTTTTCCAGGAACTAACACTTTCCATGGATATAATACTGCAGATATAAATCATGTATACCGCTATCACCTAGTCACAAAGGCTTAAGGCTGACATAGACTAATCAGATACCCACCCTCACAGGAATTTGAATCTTGAGCATAAGGAAAAAGAAACTGAAAATGAGCAGTAAAATCCTTTCATTTCAATAGCTTCACCCTGTCAGATACTTTCTGGTACTGCACAAATTCTCTAACTTTTGCTTGCCAAAGCTCCAGGGCAATTTCATGTCTTCTTTACTTCCAAGTCTGGCTCCCTGGAGTTTCCCAGCTCAATCTGTAGAATCTTAATATTCCCTCAAATAAATTCTCTTTTCCATAATTTAGTGAGAGATGGTGAATGTTGCTTACAACCTAGGAACTCTTAATGAAACAGAAACTAAGTGCAGAGCTAGATATTGCCAAATCCTCTATTGGCCACTTTAGAAAGTTAAAACAGTCCAAACAAAGCATTACGAAATGCAAATACTAGCTTTATCACAATTTATTGTTTCTAAATTAGCCATGCTGAATGTCTTAGATTAATACTTAAACTGCTGGATGTCTCATCTTAGCTTTACATAACAAGTATGTTTTAATTTGACAGATATAAGCACTGATGTCCAGCAAATAAAGAAAATTTTCTTAAGACCTAAAGCAAAATGTAGGCTAGTTCTTCCCTAAATTAAATTCTCATAGGCAGGTTCTTTACCTGAATCACAGCCAAGGGTTTTTCTCGGCTTCTGATAAGAGCTGCTTCTTGTTGTAGCTCTTCTTCCACAATAGATGCAAAAGTGACTGGGGCTACTGGAGAAGCAGTCAATGAAGAAGACAGCCAAGGACTGAAAGAATAATAATAGTGAGGTTTCATTCATCTTCCCAATTTTTCACATGCAAAATCTTCTTGAAATGTTCTTTAGCAATGTTACATTTTTTTCCCAGTGACAAACAATGTAAGGGGACACGCAAACTTTTGCAGGAATTACAGGATGATCAAGTGGAAAACAGAAAAAAGAAAAACTAGTATTTTGTTTGGATCAGTGCTGGAGTAAAAACTTTGGAAAAAGGCCAAAGACTGAGTGAGGCTAGAGCAGAAAAAAACCTAAACAGAAAGGTAAACATGGAGCAGAGAGCATTTAGATAATACATTTTATTTAATACCATTCCCAATTCCTTAAAATTCTTTTTCAGTGCTAAGCAGAGTGTTTAGTGTTGGAGGGCTCAAAATGAATTAACCTTACTTGGGACTGTCTAGAAGTGGTAAATCTGAAATGTGGTGGCCTTCTGGTCCTGGAGTACTGTGGGTACAGCATCTGCAAAACAAATGCCAAAACTGGAGATTAAAAGCTTTTGGTACCATTAAAATCATTTAATAACAGATACACAAGAGGAACTGTGAGCCCATATCATCAGACAAATCAATAGAATGTGTATTCAAGTTTATGTTTGAAATTATATGTAAACAAAATAACCACCATTCATCTGTGAGTTTGCCATGCCATGCTGGCTTGCACATTGTTGTGAGGCTAGAGGCTATGCCACCAGTATTTCAAATACCAGCAGGGTCACCCATGGTGGACAGGTTTCAGTGGAGCTTCCAGACTAAGACAGACACAGAAGAAAGAAGAGGACATTAACTTCTCAAACATTGGCCAGGAAAACCTTATGACTAGCAGTGAAACACTGTCTGATATACTACTGCAAAACTTTATGAACAGCCCCTGAAACATTATCTGATACAGCGCTGGAAGTTGAGGCTCTCAGGTCAGAAGGAACTCAAAATACAACTGGAGGGAAGAGCTGTCTCCTCAGAGTAGAGCTGACCTTAATGATGTGGATGGAATAAAGCTTTCGGGACCTCCATTTGCTGATGTGGCATGACTCAAAATGAGAAGAAACAGCTGCAAAAATCCATTAATAATTAGAACATGGAATGTATGAAACATGAATCTATAAAAATTGGAAGTTGTCAAAAATGAAATGGAATGCATAAAGATTGATATCCTAGGCATTAGCGAGCTTAAATGGGTGGGTTTTGGCCATTGTGAGTCAGACAACCATATGATCTACTATGCTACAACTTATCTACAATGACAAATTGAAGAGGAATGTTTCAAGTTCTATCCTACACTACAATGCTGTCAGTGATAGGATAATATCCATATGCCTACAAGGAAGACCAGTTAATACTATTATTCAAACTTACACACCAACCACCAAAGTCAAAGATGAGGAAATTGAAGATTTTTACCAACTTCTGAGTCTAAAATTGACCAAACATGAAATCAAGATGTGTTGATTATCACTAGTGACTGGAATGCAAAAGTTGGGAACAAAAAAGAATTACCAGTAGATAAAAAATATGGCTTTGGTGATAGAAATAATGCTGGAGATGGCATGATAGAATTTTGTTAAGACCAGCAACTTATACACTGCAGATACTTTTTTTCAACAACATAAAAAATGGCTACACATGTGGACTTCACCAGATGGAATACACAGGAATCAGACTGACTGTATCTATGGCAAGAGGTGATGGAGAAGTTCAATACCTTCGGCCAAATCAAGACCAGGAGCTGATTGTGGAACAGACTATCAACTGCTCATATGCAAGTTCAACTTGAAGTTGAAGAAAATATAACCTTGAAAGCCAAAATATAACCTTGATAATATCCCTCCTGAATTTAGAGACCACCTAAAGAATAAATTTGATGCATTGAACACTGATAACCAAAAACTAGGGGAAAAGACCACAATGGATGTCAGAAGAGACTCTGAAATTTGCTCTTATATAAAGTGTAGCTAAAGCAAATGGAAGAAATGACAAGATAAAAGAGCTGAACAGAAGATTTCAAAGAGCAGCTCGAGAAGACAAAGTCAATTATTATAAAGAAATGTGAAAATACCTGGACTTAGAAAACCAAAAGGGAAGAATACTTTCAGCATTTCTCAAGTTGAAAGAATTGAAGAAAAAATTAAGCCTCAAGTTAATGACTAATACTGGAAACATCAAAAGAAGATGGAAGGAATACACAGAGTCATTGTACCAAAAAGAATTGGTTGATGTTCATCCATTTCAGGAGGTGGCATATGATCAAGAACCAATGGTATTTATTGAAGGAAGAAGTCGAGGTCACACTGAAGGAATTGAGGAACAAGGCTCCAGGAATTGACGGAATGCTCATTGAGATGTTTCAACAAATGGATGCTGAGCTAGAGGCACTTACTCATCTATGCCAAGAAATTTGGAAAACAACTACCTAGCCAACTGACTGGAAGAGATCCATGTTTGTACCCATTCTAAAAAAAGGTGATCCCATAGAATGTGGAAGTTATCAAACAGTATCAATATCACACGTAAGTAAAATCTTACTTACATGAGTTTTTTTTTTTTTTAAGTAAAATCTTGCTGAAGATAATTCAAAAATGGTTGCAGCAGCAGTATCTTAACAGACAACTGACAGAAATGCAAGCTGGATTAAGAAGAGGACATAGAATAAGGGATATCATAGCTGACGTCAGATGGATCTTAGCTGAAAGAAAAGAATACCAGAAAGATGTTTACTTGACTATGCAAAAGCATTCAATTGTGTGGATCACAGCAAATTATGGATAATATTGAGAAGAATCGGAATTTCAGAATACTCGATTTTGCTCATTAGGAACTTGTACATAGACCAGGAGGCTAACAGGACAAGGCGATACTGCATAGTTTAAAATCAGGAAGGGAGTGCATCAGGGTTGTATCCTTTCACCATATTTACTCAATCTGTAGGCTGAGCAAATAATCCGAGAAGCTGGACTATATGAAGAAGAGCATGGCATCCAGATTGGAGGAAATATCATTAACAACCTGTGATATGCATGCACCACCACTTTGCTTGCTGAAAGTGAGGATTACTTGATGCATTTAATGATGAAGATTAAAGACTACAGCCTGCAGTATAGATTACAACTCAACACAAAGAAAATGAAAATCCTCACAACTGGACCAATAAGCAGCATCATAATAAATGGAGAAAAGATTGAAGCTGTCAAAGATTTCACATTACTTGGTTCCACTGTCTATACCACTGGAAGCAGCAGTCAAGAAAAACATCAGATGACATATTACACTGGGCAAATCTGCTGCAAAAACCTCTCTAAAGTGCTGAAGACCAAATATGTCTCTTTGAAGACTAAGGTGCACCTAACCCAAGCCATGGTATTTTTCAATTGCCTCATATGCATGTGAAAGCCTGAAAATGAATAAGGAAGACCGAATAAGACTTGATGCTTTCAAGTTGTGGTGCCAGGAAAGAATACTGAAAGTACCATGGACTGCCAAAAGAACAAACAAATCTGCCCTGGAAGAAGTGCAGCCGGAATGCTCCTTGGAAGCAAGAACGCCAGACTTCACCTCACCTACTTTGGTCATGTTGTCAGAAAGGACCATTCACCTGGAGAAGGACATCATGCTTGGTAAAGTGCAGAGTCACTGAAAAATGGGATGACCCTTAACGAGATGGACTGACACAGTAGCTGCAATGATGGGCTCTGGTATAGATAGCAAACATTGGAAGGCTGGCATAGGACTGGGCAGTGTTTGGTTCTGTTGTACGTAGGGTTTCTATGAGTCGGAGCTGACTTGATGGCACCTAACAACAACAACAAACAAAATCATCATCACAGAGAAAGGTCTTATAGTAGTACATGGTCTATGTTTTCTAACAATATTCATATAGCCATTTATAGTTATCGAACATACATTATGAAATAGAGAACTTTGTGAAGAACATCTGTTTCACATAAATATTTTATGAATAAAATGACAAATTAATACTATATTTCAAATATTCAGAAACCAGGTAATTAGCAGCCAAAATCTGTATGCACCTAAAATACTAAATACTTTGATAAGCTAGGGATTGTAGACAGGACGGGAATAGGCTTGGCATCTACCTTCAAAGAACTCACAAACTAGGTGAGGAAATAAAACAAAAAAGCAGAAAAAATTTGAAATAGTTATCATTTGAGGGCCTCACGGAGTACAATGAACTTGAGAATTATAGAGGGTGTAGGATGAGGGGAGCAGAATGAATTTCAGTACTATAGAGAATTGCCTAACTGTGGGATTTTCAGTTAAAAAAAAGTCCCCAGATATTATCTAGATCAATCAATGCTTAAAGAACATTGAGGCCTAGATGAAGTTAACAACACAAAGTCAATCAGATAGTGAAAAAACAGCAACTAAAGAACATACTTTCCAGGATACAAGGTCAATATACAAAAATCAGTTGGATTCCTCTACACCAACAAAGACACCTCTGAAAAAGAAATAAGGGAAACAATACTGTACTGGTTACCTCTGTGCTGCTCTAACAAAAAATATACCACCAATGGGATGCTTGAACAAACAGGAGTTTATTCTCTCACAGTTTGGAGGCTTTAAGTCTGCATTCAAAGTGCCAGGCTCTAGGGTCTGGGTCAAAGTCCCTCAACCTAGGGCTTCAGCTCTGCCTCCTGCTCCCGGCTAAATGGAGCCAGAGGCTTTTCTTCACTCAGACAGCTGCTGGCTGCTGAGGCTGACAAGCCCAAGGTTGACAAGTAAAAAGGCACAGTCCCGATGTTACCAAACCACATGGCAGGCCATTCATTCAAGTCTATTGAAAGTCCCAAGGTCAGCAGAGCATGATAGGCTGCTGAACAACGACACAGCTACATACAGGGTTCAATTGTGCCAGAAGCTAGAGACCATTCCCAAAGCTGTTTCTCATATATGGGAAGTGTTTCTTATATATGGGAAGCAGACCACATATCCAAAGCAGCTACTCAGCTGCTCCAATAGATTCCACCATGGAGTTAATTACCAATCTCATCATGGGAAATAACTGCCGAGCCACCCAATCAGGCCCAGCCAAGTTGACACACAAACTTAACCACCACAAATACCATTAACAATAGCTACTAAAAAGATAAAATATCTAGGAATAAACCTTACAAAAGACCTATACAAAGAAAACTATAAAACACTACTACAGGAGACAACAAAGGATCTACATTAATGGAAGAACCTGCCTTGTCCATGGATAGGTAGATTGAATATTATGAAAATGTCAATACTACCCAAAGCAATCTACACATTTAATGCAATCCCAATCCAGATACCAACAAAATTTTTTAAGGACATCGAAAAACCAATTATGAACTTCATATGGAAAGGAAAGAGACCTCAGATAAGCAGAACAGTACTGAAGAAGAACAACAAAGTGGGAGGTCTCACACTCCTGGATCTTAAAACCTACTATACAGCCACAGTAGTCAAGACAGCATA